GTATCCGACTTTTGATTGACTAGCGTAAAGAGGGAGGAGGAAGGGTGGGTGCAAATTAGAGAAGGGAGGGATGAGGGTCATAAGAGGTGAGGGAGAAGACCAAAAGTTTTTTTTTTAATTTTGTTTAATACCCACGTGGCGTTCAATCATTGTTCACGTGGATGCCACGTTATCAATTAACGACAAATTTAACAGCAACCTTAATGGATGTATGAAAGTGTCCCAAAATTATAACTTTATATACCACTCTGAGATGAAAAAAACTTTATGTGCCAAATGTTGAAAACCAATAAACTTTAGGGTAATAAACTGAGATTAACCATAAGAAAATATAGGCTTTTTAGTCAAAATTTCTTTGGAATTGGTACAAGTTCTCACTCTGGTCTTTGACATTGGTATAATTCATTACTTTAGTTTTTGAGATTTAAAATCGATAGAACTGGTCATTGAGTTTGTTCACCGTCAATCATTTTGGTATTTTTGTGATAAACATTCGTTAAATAAGGATAAATTGACATAAAACCCCTACTTTTTGTTAACTCATTTTGACTCATTGTTCATTAAATTGAGGGTATTTGTCATTTTGATCCTTATTTAAACAAACATTTTTACGGAATGACCAAAATGATTGATGGTGGACAAACTCAGGGACCAGTTTTATTGATTTTAAATCTCAATGACCAAAGTGAGGACTTATGCCAATCTCATAAACTATTTTAGCTAAAATGCTGAAAATATATCTATATACTAATACTATATGCTATGCCAGTAGAGATGATGAGAAATATATTCTCCACTTAAAATTGATAGAATTGGTCACTAAGTTTGTTCACTGTCAATCATTTTGGTCTTTCTGTGATAAACCTCCATTAAATAAGGATAAATTGACACAAAACCCCCTACTTTTTGTTAACTCATTTTGACTCATTGTTCATTAAATGGAAGGTATTTGTTATCTTGATCCTTATTTAAACAAACATTTTCATTGAATGACCAAAATGATTGATGGTGGACAAACTCAAGGACCAGTTTTATCGATTTTAAAACTCAAGGATCAAAGTGATGACTTATGCCAATCTCATAAACTATTTTAGCTAAAATGCTGAAAATATATCTATATATACTAATACTATATGCTATGCCAGTAGAGATGATGAAAAATATATTCTCCACTTGAAATAATATTCACTAATTCTTTGTTGCACTAGAAAAAGATTGGTTCTTTATATGTAAGAAGTCATTCATTTTTATATAAAAAAAATTGACACGTATGTATATAAATTTTCGTTTTATGATCAAAATGAATTACTTTTGTATATGTGTTGACACACTCCGACCTAGATCGAGGTATGCTGGCCGTCACGTGAGGTTGACGTAGTCATGTACACAATGCGGAAATGATAAGGATATAAAGGAATTGAATGAATAAAAACCAAGCTAACTAATTTACACTAAGGAAACCTAAGTGCAAATATGGTATGTAGGTATAATTACACATAATCAGAGCATAAGTAGCATAAATGTAGTCCAGCAGGACAAATATTAATTACACAATACCAAAGATGGTCCTACATTAGTGATAATCTGTCAGAGCTGCCGTGAATTCCTTGTAAGCCACCAACAAGCACTCATAACTAGAACTTGGAAGAGCGCAAAACATAAGGTGTGAGTGGGCAAAAACAAAGCTTTTCAAAACCATTTCACTTATCAAAAGTAATAACCCCTCGTCATAAAACCTGTATAATTCCCAGAAAATAGCATGCATATAAATATATCTCAAAACCCTGTTTAAGATAGCAAATCCATAATCATGCCATGTCAAATATCTCAGCAAGGAAATAAGTAAGTCAGGTGAAATAAATCAATATGAGATGGTACGTCAGCCGGAGTCACTTAACGTGACCTGTACGACCGGATCTAGAACTCATCAACTAGTCCTCTGCACACAAGTCGGAACCACCTAAAGTGGTCTGTACGATAGGCTGTGTGTAAATAAATATGCTTAAGTGCTACGGTCACGTGAAGGCTGTGCGAAGTATCACAAATCACCTACAAGTCGGAACTACCTAAAGTGGTCTGTACGACAGGCTGACACCTGCCTTGGATCCAAGGTGAGCGTGTGGTGCGGAAGGTGAACAATCACGTGAAGGCTAGACCCTATCTTCAGGCGGAGGACTAACACTAAGGTGCAGGATAACAATCTTTAAATACATCTCAACACAATTACTCACCACCATCACTACCATTAATATACTCACTTGAAGCTTACCTGAGCGTCCGCAACATCGATCAATAATATATATAACCATACTACTGCACAATTAAACATAGAGAGCATTTGACATGGCATTTAAACATATAAAACCATTTAATTAAAGTTTATGGGAAAAATACCAAGTGTGTGTGTGTGTGTGTATATATATATATATACTAAAAACCAAAAGCCCATTCACTGATATGTGGAAGGGTCGTAGCCCCCGAGTCTCACTTAACTGCGCTCGTCCTCAGGATAAGTCTCACCTATATGCGAAACAACTATATAAACGTTATTTTAAAGCACATAACCAAAATTAGGTAGTAACTTTTCATATGATACTCAATTGGGGTATTTGAATATACCAACGTGACCTACTCAACCCCACAAACAACCCCATATTTTTAGAAAAAATTTCGGATGCCACAAGCGCTCTCACGCGCCGGCCAAGGCACAGCCACACTCGCCGCCCACGCATAGGCACGTGTTTGGCACACTGACGGATTCCTTAACGTCGTTAGGGAATATTCCGTTAAATTTTAGAATATACCGTTAAAGATACCTGACGCCGTTAGAATATTCCGTCAACTTTGATAGAATATTCTCCTCATTCTTCCTTGGTTCGTCGGAGTCCGGCGCCGGCCACCGCTGCTATTGCCGGATTCTGGAAAAACTTTAAACTTCAATATCTTTCTCATTTCTACACCAAATTTCACAAATTTTATACCAAAATGAAGCCCTCAACAAGTAGGACATGATCGTACCTTTCAAAGTCCTAAAATCAACGGAAATTCGCCAGAAAAATCTCGTGAAAATCGGCCAAACATGCAACTTGATAAACCCTAGTGTTCTAATGTTAAAACCACTCCAAAATTGATCCAACATGCTAGAAAAGCAAGAATAATACCTTTTTAGGTCTAAAAACAACCTAAAACCTTCGCGATCATGTTGGAGAAAATTTACCCCTCACCGGAGTTCGGGTAACTTGAGTTCTATGAGTCCTCACGTCCAACCAAGGGTATAAATCAACTATTGAGCTTGCAAAGAACACGAAAATCATGTCCACAACCTCGATCCATGCATGAAATGGTTGGTTGAAAGCTTGTCCGTACAATTGTACCAAAATGGAAAGAAGTCCGAGAAGGAAGGAAAGAGAGAGAGTCAACGGGAGAGTGTGAGTGTGTGGTCCATGTTGCAGGCCAACAAAACAAACAAAACAATCTAACTTCCAATTGGGTCCAACAACTTAGGAAGAAAATGAATTGGTCCACAACCTAAGTTCATTTCACACAATCACAACCCAACACTCAAGGGCAAAATAGTCATTTCATGCTATCGAAAATATATTTCGGGACGGACTGTCACATGTGTCAAGTTGTGATTTGCATTAAAAAAAAGTCAAATAATTTTGTTCATATATAAGTGTTACAAATAGTGATCAAACCTTTAAGGTAGCTTCAAATTAATTTAATTTGTAATTAGATTTAGTTAAACAATGGATTAGTTGACCACATATAAACAACATATTCTTTTGTGGGGCAAGATTGAGTTGTAGACGATACCGAATGCAAGTTGTATGTTAATATTCATATATTCTATTTATATTTTAAATTCCAAAACCATGGGCCATCCATTGATTGGATATTATATTCATACAATAATTTTGCTCAAATTTCTGAAAAAAAATGCACCTTGAAAAAATACTTATAGAACACTGGCTATTTTTACTTGCATACACAATGCCTTAAGGAAACATTAATATAACTATTATTTAATCTCATAATCATATATATTTCGATTTACGTCAATTATTATTGATGTGAACTTTGAAAGAAGACTTAATACCTATACTACTCGAATCGATGAAATACAATGCTGAGTGAAATCCATGTAAATGAGTTTCTTCCTCCAAAGTAATTTGAAATCCATGAGTAGAATTTTGTCTCAATCATCATTAATTAAAATAAGGAAAACTAATGAAAATGACTTGAAAACTTTAAGTTTTAACGATAAGGACAAAATGAAGAGTAAAATGAATAGTACCAGAATTGACATTTTAGTGTTAAAATGTGATTTTTCGTTAAAGTGAACAGTACCTGAAACATTTTGTTAAAGTTCATATTAAAATATCATGGAGTGTGAAGTGAATAGGTTTACTAGGTTTTTGCTGTGAGTGATTTATGTATAAACTGATTGGACATCTTCCTTTTTAGCTATCCGACATGAGTGTCATCCTCAAATCCATCCCAACTAATCTTGGAAGATAGCACAACAATTTTGTCGAATATCATGCATTGTATTCTACACATATTGCTATAAATGATATGGTGGTTGTAGTTAGGCCTGTAAACGGGTCGGGTTTATTGGGTTCGGGTCGGGTTGAACCCGACCCGTTATTTTAACGGGTCACTCAAACCCAACCCGTTAAGTTAACGGGTCACCCAAACCCGACCCGTTAAGCTAACGGGTCTTAACGGGTCACCCGTTTCATCCGTTTCATGTTTTTTTTTTTTTTTTTTTTTTTTTTTACACATTTCATTCAAATCAATTACAACCTATGTGACAAAAAAGAGAGAGAAAGAGAGGAGAGAGAGAGGAGACGAGTGCTAAAGAAGCGTGTTTTGGTGGAAGAGATGGGAAACAGGAATGTGATGGACAGTTTGGTTTGGCTCCTCATTTTGTGCAATTAAATCAAAAGCATTAATCCGACTACCATCCAGTGATATTTATTTTCGAAAGTAGAAAGTTTTTAAATTTGATTCTCGTCTATTGCAAGTTTGATATCGAATTACAACTAACTCATTGTTTGATATAACTCAATGTAATTTACGTTTTACACATCAATTAATTCGTAGCGTATACTAAAGTTTTGTATATAAGTAAATACGAAATCACATCAAGCAATACGTAAACTTTGTTCTTCATCACATGTATCACTTTGTTCCAAACAAAAGTTTTTCAATTAGCTCTCTTTCTTCTTATTGCATTGCATCCTCTACTGCTTTTTTGCCAACCTTCTTGTATTGCATCCTCTGCTGCTTTTTTGCCTTCAACATTCACCTTTATGTATTACATGCAGATTAAGTAGAAAAATATCTCTCAGCTAGTATTACATGCAGATTAAGTAGAAAAATATCTTTAAAAGAACAAGTTAAAATACATACCATGTTTAATCAAGACTAATATTACTGGAACAAGTTAAAAAAATACAAAGAAATATGAAATTTACCTTCTTTGCCAAAAAGCCAATCTCTAGTACATAGCAAGGCTTGAACAGTTTCAGGCAACAAAGAACTTCGATATTGATCAAGCACCCTACCACTAATACTAAATGCTGATTCTGAGGCAACGGTTGAGATAGGAATTGTTAACACATCAGAAGCCATACGAGAAAGTACGGGATAACGAAATTGCTCCAGTTTCCACCATGAAAGAATATCCAACTCTTGTTTTCTATCGAGTCTCTTTTCTTCAAGATATAAATTTAATTCAGTTTTTTCAACTAAAGTTGACCCATCTTGATAAATATTATCAAATTCCTACATATAAAAACAAAATAGAAACAAAGATCAATGTACAATATAAAGATGCATATAAAAAGTATAAACAGAGGAATAACAAATATAAATACTACCTCAAAAAGTTTGTCTCCAACTTTTATTTCAGTAGGAGTTTGATTAACTGGGTTGGATACAAGAAGATGAGAGAACTTGTCCATGTAACTACCAAAGAGTGCAAACAATGTGCCACTAACATCCTTCAACTCTCCTGACTCCTTACCATAGAGTTTGTCATAACCCCACTCTACAAATTGCAATTTATAGCGAGGATCAAGAATCACCGCAATGGCAAGGATCAAACTATACTCTGACCAATACTTTTCAAACTTCAAATTCATATAACTCCCCATCCGTCTCATGAAATCATCACAATCTTCCATAGCATCTTTAATACAATAATGAACTTTGAACACTTTCGGGAAGAACAAGTTTGATGTAGGGTAATTTGTTCCGGAAATAAAGCAAGTAACTTCATAAAAAATACCCCAAGAAATTGGAAATCTTCTCTATTTTATCCCACTCTTCCAAGGAAGGACATGAACTAAAATTAGAATCAACAAGTGCCAAATTGAGAAAAGCACGACGATAGAAAATAGCACTATCAAGCATTGTATATGTTGAATTCCATCTAGTAGGCACATCTTGTCTCAACCCTCTTTTACTACCTGCCAACCCTACTTGTGCAACGCAAGCAAAAAACTTAATTTTTCTCCTTCTGAACACTTATATATATTTGATGCACTCACGAACTTTAGTCACTGATCCATCAATTTCCTTTAGTCCATCTTGGACTATCAAGTTTAGAATGTGAGCACAACAACGAACATGAAAGAACTTTCCATCCATTAATAACAAGCCTCTAAAATTTAATTGTTTCTTCAATAGCTCAACAGAACAATCATTTGCAGAGGCATTATCCAAAAGTAATGGAAAACAGTTTTCTTTTCAATCCCCCACTCAACTAATAAGGCATTAATTTTTTTCAGACAAAGCAACCCCCGTATGTGGAGGAGGCATATGACAAAAATTTAAAATTCTTTTATGCATTTTCCATTCTTTGTCAACAAAGTGAGCTGTGAGTGTGAGATATCCATCAGTTGTAGCAGAAGACTATAGGTCAGATGTCAAACAAATTCTTCCATCAACTGTATTTAACCAATCTCGAAGTCTTATCTTTTCATCTTCAAACATCCTCAACACATGTTTCTTAACTGTATTTCTACACGGCAGTTTGATATCAGGAGATATCTATTTAAACAAAGTTCTAATGCCTTCATATTCAACAAACCTAAAAGGCAAATCATGCTTAACTATAGCCTCAATCAATAGCTCACAAAAACTAACATGGTTAAACTGAGGCGAACGCAATCCAACTTGAGATTTCTTCATATCAATGTGATGTTTTTTATTACATGTATCCATATGATTCAATAGGTTTTTCGTCCCACAATTACTATCACATACGTAAACTATCCCACAGTTTTTACACTTCGCATGTTGTTTATCATCAGGACCAACAGGCAATTCTTCAAACAAAGTCCAAACACGGGATCTCTTTTGACGTATCTTACCTACTCGCATACCTTTAGCCTTTCTCTTTGAAGGACTTGGTGCACTTGTTGTACCTTGCGTATCACTTAGATTGACTGTTGACATTTCCGTGGCCTCAATGTTCTCTTCATCAATATCCATCTGCACTAACCATAAACAAATATAGAAATTCAAATTTATGAACTTTTAATTCCAAATTTCCAAACCGTGCCTTAAATTCAAACTCATAAATTGGACCTAGTAAATAAGAAGATGCATACCAAAGAATATAGAAATTCCAGATTTAGAGAGAGACAGCATACAAAGTAAAAAGCTTGCATTCAGATTAATGGGTTTTTCTAAGACAATTCAAATCAGACTTCAGACTTCAGAAATCACCATTCATGCTTCAAAAATCGTGCATACAGCTACAAAAATAGAAGGAAAAACTTCAGACTTCAGACATCCCATTATGAATTAAATACAGAATCTTCTAACAAAATAACAAAAATGAAATTTTCAAATCCTTTCATATTAGATAATTGCATTACACTAAACAAGGGCCAGCTGGTATCCATTTTCATGCAATTACAAAATCTCCCTTGGTGGGAATATAAAGCCTTTTTTAATAATCATGACCTTAGATTCAAAATATACAACTCTTTCACATAATCTAGATGACAGACCGAAAAATTAAAAAAACCCCAGAGTTGAATCTCTTCCTACCAACCCAAACAGATTCCAAAGATTCAAACCCATGAACAAAACGCATGAACAAAACCCATGAACAAAGAAATCAATACTCTGTACACTAAATCAGTACTCTGTACAAAACCCATGAACAAAACGCAAAACCCATTATCCAAAACACAACCAAAAATCTAATCTGCAGAAACGAAAAGTAATCGAAATGAAAGAAGAGGTTGAAGGAAATCGGAGCTTACCAGAGAGAGAGTGGTGGAGTTCAGTAAAGTTTTTGAGGGAAGAAGATGAGGGAGATAACCGGAGCTAGAAGGAAGGAGCACAGGCTGCACAGCGATCTCAGTCTCAGAGAGCAATGGCGTGTGAGGCAGCGAGAGAGGTGAGGAACGTGAGGGCTGACGGCTGAGGTCCTGAGGTTTTGAATTAGGGCTATTGAAATTACACAAAAATCCTTACTAACGGGTCTTAACGGGTTTCACGGGTTTACCCAAACTGACCCGTTATGTAACGGGTGACTAACGGGTTGACCCGTTAACTACCCGACCCGTTAACCACCCACCCGAATACTAATTTTAACGGGTCGGGTCAGGTCGGGTTAACGGGTTGGGTTAAAAATGCCAGGCCTAGTAGTGGATCGATTATGACTTTTGATATAACTAAATAATTACAGGGGATGGATACATTATTTTTTACATACTTTTTTTAAGAGATTTATTCTGTAATGTATTTCAACTAATCTTGGAAGATAGCATCACAATTCTGTAATGTATTTCAATAATTTGAACCGTTTAACTTTTAAGTTTTCTTCAAAAATTACGTTTACCAAAAATCACCCAAATCTGAATTATATGACCGTTGGATTAATTGTCTTAGGGTTTCTTTGTAGAATTGTATTTGTCCATTGTTTTACTACGAATGAATCTCTTATTAATTTTGAATTTGCCTAATTTTTCGCAAGGATGATTTATGAATAGTATTTTAAAAGGTAGACGGTTCAGATCGTTATAATACATTACAAAGTGAGGCTCACAAAAATGTGTGTAAAAAATTATGTAAAGAAATGGTGTGACGAATCCACTCCATATATATAACATATAAACAATCAAAATTAATGATATGTGTACTTGTTTTTTATATCAAAATTATGGATTTCATTCAAACAATGAAAAGGTGATTAGAAAATAGGGATGTGCTATCCACGCACCTCTTTTTACTTCTCACATACCATTTATTAATTTATGTTCGTTGATCTTCTTCAATTCATCTGATCTAACGATCGAAACTTAGAAAGGTATGTGAGAACTAAAAAGGGGTGTGTGGATATCACACCCCTAGAAAATAATGACATCCGCTAAATTTGAGAAGAAAAATGAAATTATTATTCTGAAAACCAAGATGGAAGGCCTTTTAGTTTAAAGATTAAAATTTCCCATAATTTGCTTCGAGCATACTGCCATGGATTCTCCCATGCTCGTACCAGTGACCAGACCACATATTCATACTCGTACACGTATCAAATTTTCTCGTTCTAAATAGGTAAACATGTCATAACATTATAAAATGATAAAACAATGACCACACATTCCTACTCATACATGCATCAAATTCTCTCGTTCTAAATAGATAAACATGTCGTGTCATAACATCATAAAATGATAAAACACAATTGTAGATAGGAAAATGATGGGGGGGAAAGATTGAGAGAGCTAGCTACAACAAACCACCCACTCAGCATGCAACAAGATTTCACGACGATCAACGGTAAAGAGCGAGCTACAAGTTCTACGGACCAGATGAGGGTTTGAGGCAGCAGCCGCAGCCGCAGCCATCAGCTATCATGCGTCGCTGGCGCGCAAATAAAAGAGATGTGCCCCGTCACACAATAAAACCATCCTTTGCGGCACAGCTGTCCAACAAGATCAGGTTACTGCGGCAAACATTGTGTCACGAGTCAGCTCCTCCCTGAGGTCCCACAAATACAAGAGTAATGCTGCGTAGCACAAAAATCTCAATTGAGATTTTTTCCAATCTGAGAGTTCAGAGTCAAACTCCGTCGATGTAAATTTATCTTATATTGCAGATTTCAAGTCCGAATAAAAGAGAAGAGAAAAGGGGGTCAGATAGTTAATAGTTGACACTTTTATTTTACGTCGAATCCTTATGCTGACCTCACTTAGTAAAAAAAAAAATGTTGTTATTGTTATTTTGACTGTTCAGAGTCCAAAGAGTAAAAAATTTGACTGTTCAAATGGGTGAGATTTGAGCTTTGTTCGATGTGCGATAGAGATGAAATGGATTAGCTTGTGTAGATACATTGAATCATGTCATGCGTAAACGAGACTCTTATAATTTCGTCTCCTTGTTCCAATTATAATATCACCCATAATGAGACCTGCTCTAGACAGACAACTGTACCAAAGTTTTTTTTTTTACTGTTACCTTTGGTTACCCTAAGTCAAATTATGCCAAGAACAAAGACAGAAAAGTGTTTCTTTAGGACAGGTTATATCTTTAAAAGATTGCCCGCTTTCCTTTCTAGATTATTGGATTTTCTTTCTTTTCTTTTTCATGGGTTCATTTGATCTTGTAACTAGGTAAGTGATGAGGAAAGGGATCCTTTCTGGATCTCTTCTTCCTAATCCACCAAGTCCAGAGATCTGGACCATTGAAATTTGATTTGACGGCTAAAGTTGTTGTAACTTTTAAAGGTCCAGATCTCCGAACTTGGTGGATTAGGAGGAAGGAATCCGAAAATGATCACTTTCCAAGTTATGAACGTCCTTGTCACATATAAATTGATAAAATAATAAAAGCAAGAACCAGCCTTAAGAAATGGAAAACAAAGAAAGCAAAAATCTTGGTTAAAGCTGATGCATATTTCAAAAGACAATACCAGTTTATCTACATGAATAAAATTGTCTAAGTTCCATGAATTGAGGAATTTAACAATTTCGATTATGAAAGTTCACATTACGTTATTTGCAAATAGAGAAATGAACTTATCACACAACGACTTTAATTTCATTCATTGACATTAAATATCACTTGCATGACTAAAATCGCGATTAACCAATTTAAGAAAGATTGACATTGGAAAAAAAATCAAATAATAAAACCAAACTACTTTGCTAATTTTTATCCTTCCACTCACATCACAGTTAAACCACTCCTAGACAGCATCTGCTGCAGTGACACTGCAATTGCTCCACCTGACATCGACCAACCCCAAATCGCCACGTTTCCAACTTCCCGTACATCCCTCCAAACGCATAACGACGACGTTTGACTGTTTTCTGCCTTTGTTTTGTCGCCTTCCCTTTATCTTTTCCGCCCCCTACCCGCTTTGCTCTACATTCCCTTCCCTTTTGTTTTTATGAGGCGCATAATTATTAGTAAGGACCCCTAATTACTCAAAGTCCGATTCAATCGCCGCCGGCTTCCGCCGTGTCAGATCCGTCTTCTCAGATCATGCGCTTCGCGTTCACGCCGACTCCATGCTCCCGCGCTCCTCCGTTGGTCGCCCTGCTCCGCTGTCTTCGATCCGGTTCGCTCGTCTTCCGCGCGAGCTTCTCGTAGATCGTGCTTCTTCTCGCTCCTCTCTCTTTCCGTTTGTCCCTGCTCGTTTCTTGACACGTTGCGGCGTTTGTCTGAGATTGTGATTTTGTAAGCGGCGGCGGTGCGTTGTCGTTTTGATTCTTTTTTTGGAAGTGGATTTGGAGATATAACGGTTTAGGGGTCTGGTTTTGGGAATCCAGTTTCTATTTTTGGAAATATTTGGAGTTGGGGATTTGGAGCTCCGAAAACCCGATCTTGAACTTGAATTAAAGAATTCAAATCTTTTCCCACTTTTGACTCTGAAACTTTTTGTTATAAATAGCAGTAAGTTTTTTTTCAGTGAGAGTATTTTCGTCCGGCGACGTTTCTTATTAGCGATGGAAGACCGAAACGTCCGGCGTAGGATTACCGACGTCGTTATGGACGTCGTGATGCCGTATCTGCACGACCCGAAGGACCGCGACGCCGTGTCGTTGGTGTGCAAGCGGTGGTACGAGCTCGACGCGCTCACGCGGAAGCACGTGACCATCGCGCTCTGCTACACCACTACCCCCGATCGGCTGCGGCAGCGGTTTCAGCACCTGGAGTCGCTGAAGCTGAAGGGGAAGCCGAGGGCGGCGATGTTCAATCTGATTCCGGAGGACTGGGGAGGGTATGTGACGCCGTGGGTGAGGGAGATCGCCGACTCCTTCCACCGCTTGACGTGTCTGCACTTTCGGCGGATGATTGTTAGGGATTCGGACCTGGAGCTGCTGGCTGAAACGCGCGGGCGCGTGCTCCAGGTGCTTAAGCTCGACAAGTGCTCAGGGTTTTCCACCGATGGGCTTTTCCACATCGGCCACTCCTGCAGGTAGTAAAGTTCACAACTTTATGTGAAATTGTTTTACTTGCGGTGAATTTTGTTGTGGGTTCAATCAGAAACGTTTGATGCATTCATTGTTTTGGTAAAAATTGAAGCACAAAGTTATATTCATTCATGCTGCATAGTTTCATTACTCTTGTAAAAATTTTAGTTGCAGGGATTGCTTATGGATCTTTCATTCTTTCATTATCTCTCACACAATTCAGCATGTTGTTTCGTTTGTTATTTGTTCGCGAAAGCCTTGTTTCGGGCAGTTTCTAGCACTTCTGTGATCCCCAAAAATTTTGAAGTTGCATAAGAAATGCTTCTGCAGGTGCCAAATAAGTCGCTTCTCGTTTAAGATTGACCCCCAATTTAACTGAAACCTTGGGAGCGTAGTACCGAAATCTTACCATCATGTTTATGGACAAGGAAGAGAAATTCACATGCTGCATTTCGGAACTCGCTTGGGGGGCATTCGTGTAGTAAGCATCGCATGCATGCGCATGCACACATCCACGAACCCTTGTTCTTGTATACATGTTAATGCAGCTTTTGCAATCATTCTCAACTAAGTAATTTTTTTCTGTAATTGTTCTGGAGAGACGTTAATTGATGTTGTTTTTCACTATATGCTTTTGTAGGAATTTGAGGACCTTGTTTTTGGAAGAGAGCTCCATAAAGGAGAAAGACGGCAATTGGCTACACGAGCTTGCTGAGAACAACACTGTCCTGGAGACTCTGAATTTTTATATGACGGATCTTATCAAAGTCAAAATCGAAGACCTTGAGCACATAGCCAAAAACTGTCGCTCCTTATCCTCTGTGAAAACTAGTGATTGCGAAATCTTGGATCTAGTGGGCTTCTTCCGTAATGCAGCTGTCTTGGAAGAGTTTTGTGGGGGTTTCTTCAACGAGCAATCAGAGAGGTACTCTGTTGTAACTTTGCCCCAAAAACTTTGCCGTCTGGGTCTAACGTACATGGGAAAGAAAGAAATGCCAATAGTATTCCCATTTGCAACCCTTCTCAAAAAGCTCGATCTCCTTTATGCATTGCTGGACACTG